TTTTTCCAGTAATGGGGATTGAACCCCAGGCCTTCACACTGAGCTACATTCCTAGCTTTTTAAACATTTTTTTTTTATCTTGAGACAGACTCTCAGTGAGTTGCTACATTGCTTAGGCTGGGCTTAAACATCTGAGCCTCCTGCCTCAGCCTCCCAGAGCGCTGGGATTGCAGGCATGCATCACCGTGCCTGGCCCAGCCGTGTGACCCTGAAACATTTACCGCTCCCTTCCAGCCCTACTTCTCCCCATGAAACGATGGAGCTTGTCCCTTCCGGCCTGTTCTGGTATGTACAGCCCTGTCGCTGTGGTGCTGCCGTCCAGAGGTCGGGCAGTGGGACCCATGCTCTGGGGACTCACATCCCCTTCCAAAAGCCACTGGCGCACAATGGCAGGGAGGAGGTATCCAGGTCAGGAGAGATGCCAGGCCCTCCTGCACAAGAGGGCCTGGGCCTGGGCAAACGATGCCTTCTTTGCCAGTTGCCAGAATGCACCAGACAGCACGAACTGTTGGTTCTGGTGAAACAACTGTCCCCTAACAGTAAGAAATTCCCCGACACAGAATACACTTCAGACACCAGGAGAGGTCTTGTCCGGGGAAGGAGGGGATGAGGGAATAGCAAGGGTGTGCTGGGGCAAGTCTGGCTTTAGAATCATATTTTACTCATTAAAATAATTGGCCTGACAAATGGGTGACACCTGTCCAGTCCCATTGGCTGTTGTTTTCAGAAACAAAAATTGCTGGATTTGAACATGTGTATCTGCAAACTGTAAGAAAAATGCACCTCTGAGCACAGCGGTTTGGTTGAATGTGGCTCGTTCATTGTCACAGGCCTCTGCAGATGTGACGGTGCCGCGCTGGGCTGTTTTCCGCAGCCAGAGGAGGATCACGTGCTGGCTCCACGTGACTGCTGGCCCACCTGGCCCATGAGCAGTCACTTGTCACGAGACCAAGGGCACCAGGAGGAGCTTTGAAGGAGGGACACTGAAGAAACACCATGGATACACTGTTGCTGTTACTCTTACTTCATTTCCAGATGATGGGGGCACAGAGGGGAGCCCGGCAGGCCCTGTTGAGCAGGTTGGCACGTGTGATGGTAAACGCATAGCGCCTGGGTCTTGGAGCAGATCCGCTGGAGCCATGGGTTAAGCTCCTATGTGCTGCTTCCGCTTCTGGAGAGGAGCAGGAGGACAGAGAGGTTGAGGCCTCCTTCCGGGAGCCGTGCTGGGGACACCTGCACCCGAGAGAGATTGGGGGCAGTGACCAGCTTCTAGGAGGTGCCTGGGGACGGCAGGGACGCCGCCTCTGCTCTGGTCTGGAGTCTCCACCTCTGGGTCTGTCCCCCAGGGCAGCTTCCATGGGGGCAGCCTTGGAGAGAGCTGGCCGGGTCTCCAGTGACTTCCCTCAGCATCGCCGTTCCTCTGTGTGAGCCACATGCAAAGCCCCTGGGTCAGAGTATTCCTGGGGGCGCCGGGGTCCCACTGCAGGTTCCTAGAGTGGTCTCTGAACCCGGAAAGCCAGGGTGCTCCTGTGACCTCATCACTTGCTAGCTGTGTCACATAGGAAAAGCTGTCTAATCCGCCCTGGGGCCCAGTCTTGGTCCCAACTCGATTGGATGGCTGTGAGATTTAAAATGTGCGAACAGTTCTTTTGAACAGACTTCCTTTTATTTATAAAAATACAAATAAGCAGTGGGGCGGGTCCCTAAAGAGGACAGGAGCCCAATATCCCCGAGTGTCTGAGAATGAGAGGGGTAGATGAGCAGGCTGGAGGGATGGGTGAACTCTCCCGAGCAGGGAGTCTCCATGTTTACAACCACAGAAAACACATTGTTCCCTCCGCCCGGGGATGGGACCTGTCACTTAGCTAGGCTGCTAAGAGGGGTGATAACTCCAGAGTGGATACCCAGGGATCTCAAACGCCTGCATCCTAGGCCAGAGTTGCTTGTTCTTGGAGATGTTGAACTTTGGGGCCGAATAATATTTGCTTTGTATGCGGCTTTCCTGTGCCTCCTTGGGTGACTGGTAGCTTCCCTGGCTCTACTCCTAGGTACCAGTAACACTTCCCCACCCTACCCCTGCCCTGTTTCTAACAGTGAGGATTGTCTCCAGATGGTACTAAATGTCCTCAGGGAGGGACAGTGGGCTCGCTGTGCTCCCTACGGGGTGGGCCTTCCAGAAATGGTTGTGGTCTGCTGTGCTGAAATTAACAACCTGTTTTTTTCTGAGCTTTGCTAATCTCTGTCTAGTTTCGTTTATTGACTGGAGGACCGAGAGAGAGAGTCCTGGGAAAGCACTACAGACTTTCCACATTCCCACCCTGTTTGAAATAAAGCAGGGGGTTCTTGCACCTGGCTGGGCAGCCAAGTCACACGGGACTCAGTTCTTGTCACTCCAGCTTCAAGTCCCTCCCCCCACAGCATGAAATGCATTACATTTTGTACACCCGTAGCTGTCAGATAAAATATGAGCTACGGTGAAGATGGAACAAGGAATTCCACTGAAACAAGATCTTGAGGTAAATGTCTTTGGTGGTGAATACATTTTCTCTTCTGCGATAGACCCGGGAGTTAGTGGATCTGTATTCGGGGGGACACCGGGGAAGGCACCGAAGGACAGAGTTTTGCAGGAAACAAAGGTAGAAGGAGAGGTGGAAACATTTGGGCTCTTACTATGGAGGTGGTGGTTGGAGTGCATTGGGGGAAAGGGTTGGACCAACTCCTTTTGGGGCCCTCATTGGTTTTTGATGTTTTTTTGTTGTGTTTAATCATCCTCCCTAGACAAGTCAGGTTTTACTCTTCTCTGGTGTGGCTTCTGACACACCATTATTGCCATCATCTCATTAATTTCCTCTCTGGAATGTGTTGCTGTTCAGGATCAAAGGACGCTCCTCAGTTTCTGGAAGCTTTTCCCCCGATTTCCTGGGTGCGCTTGCTTTAGTGCGGCCTCTGATACCTGGGGCAGAGCAGTGGAATAAAGCTTGGAAATGTGCTTGGTGCAACAAAAGCTCCTCTGGGTCTTAGCATAACGGAGCCAGGCATGAGTTTTTGCCTTGAGCCGGTCCAAAACCACAGGTATAAACCAAGTGCATGCAATTGAGTTCTCAGGGGCGTGCGTCCCTGCTGAGCACGGTCACGTGTGGACCCGGGCTGTCATTTACACAACTGACCCTGTGAACCTGACGCTGAGGATTCTACCTAGGGTCTTTCGATCCTGTGGCCGGGTCACAACAAATGTAGTGCGCGTAGCTGTGTTGGGGTGGGAAAGGCACACGTTCTCGCAGTGCTGCTGGCTGTCCTCTGCGTTGAAGGGGCTGCTTGCAGAGCGGTGTGGCCGTGACCGTGGGACTCTTCGTACAATGACCACATGGATGCTGCCGGTCGTCACTGACGTGTGGTATCGGAGAGTCTGGTTTGCTGTGTGAATGTGATAATAGAAGGTGAGATAGCCAGTAGTCACTCACGATATCTGCAAGTTCAAGGAGCCCTTCTCATACAGCGAATCAAGGCTCAGTGGCACCGCTTGCCACTTCCTTCTTCTTCACTGAGGTCGCTCTCATCGCTGTCCCCCTGGGCTTCAATTTTCATTTCATATCCTCCCTGGGTCCCAGAGACCCACTCTTCCCTCCTACTTCTCTTCCTCACATTGCTATATTCCAGCATCTGGAGACCCAGGACAAAGGATTTCAAGGCACCGGTGTTAAACCTTCTCCTGCTTCATCCATATGGCTTGCTGTCCACCTCTTAAACCGATTGTTAATTTGCTTTTGACTCCCCACAAGCAGGTCACTGAATAAGAAAAGATGCTGCTTCTGCCTCTCTTGAGTTCTACCCGGCCATCAGTCTTCCTGCAGCACACAAATGATGACTAAAATGTACAGGGTCAGTACTAGCATAAGGACTTTCTCAAGTGCACGGCTGTTTTTGGAGGGTATTATCCAAGATAAGTAAGTGATGGAACACTTCTCCTTTCTGCTAGTGTTTTCATTCTTTTCTTGTTGCCTGGGCCTCCTGTCAGGGTGCTATCCCCTTAGAATCTCCTGCTAAAGGGACATTACTGCCATGAAGAAAATCTTCAAGTGAGTCCAAGCTTGGGAGGAGGCTGTATGGCCATGTCCATCGGAGGGACGAAGACGAGCTAGCTGAGGCATGGCTGCCATGTCATGAGGCTGATGCCCCTCCCATCAGGGCCATATACTCTGGGCTGGAGGTGAGGCGGTGCGACTCCCAGCCCCCAATGGGCTTCTAAAGGCTTGTGTGAGGTTTCTCTTGGCTATGTGCCTGTCCTGTTGTTCCTGCAATGATACAGTGATACCTCATTTCCCTGTTGGGAGGGGAAGAGGGTGCCTGTTTGGAAAGACAGTGGACAATGTTTGTCGTGGGATTGTGATCTGACTTGTCAGGTTTCGTATTTTGTCACCCCGAAATTCAGCTGTTTTCTGATCATGTTGAATGTGCATGTGGAGGGTGATGTGAACAGCGGTAAGTGGGAGTGGAAGGTTGAGGTGTTTAACACTGGCTCCAGTCTCTTGCTGGTCGAGGGATATCCTGGGTGCATGTGTGGGGATAGTGCTGCAAAACTCTGGCTTTGGCCCATGTGAACATTTCTCTCTCCCTCTTCATTCTTGCCTTTGGCTCTTTAGCTCCTTCGCAACAAACCAGGCTGTGGTTCTCACTGCTCTGCCTTTGATGAAACCTCCCATCTTTTTAAGAGTCCTGACTAGAGTAATGTGTGTGGCACCAAGTACTGCGAAAAATCACAGTGGAGAGGAAGTCTGGAGGAGTCCAGAGGATCACAGGGTGAGATGGGGAATCTCTCCCCTTGGCTGCCTCTCTGGGAACAGCATGCACTCCCTTGGCTTCTGCTTTCTGCCTATTGCAGGAAGCCCAGGGTGATGACCCCCACATCCCATCGTCACCATGGTACAAGCAAGATGGGGCTCTCAAGCCTCCCGAATTGCAGAGAACCCCAGGAGCTTTTGTGATTTACGGCATGGTTTGGTGGCTAGGAAGGACTCTTTGTGGCTTTCTTTTGGTTTTTAAAAAAAGTATTCGGAAACCTTGATTATATTTTTCTCTCTGACAAATCATCGCAATTGCCTCTGAGGGAACTGGGTGAGAATTCTGGGTGGCTTTGTAGCATTTTTAAAGAAAGATCTGTCTTTCCCCTGTTCACATCAGAGGTGTTGGGCCTATTGGGCTGGCTATCAGGGGCTCATTTCTCTGTCTACTTTCAAGAGGGTCAGGCTGGCTTCAGGAATCCGCAACCTGAAGTTGATGCAGTCACACATGTCATGAGTTTAGTTTAATTCTCTGCTGTTCTTGACTTGAAATTCTTAATTTTTGAAAGGGGTCCCATGTCTTCCTTTAGCACAGGACCCTACAAATCATTCCCTTGGTCCTGCAGGGGCTGGCAGAGCAGAAGTGGGCCCATTCCAGATTCCTAGGACAGCTGTGAGGAGGGCAGCCCTCAGGAACGGCAAGAGAAAGAGCTGCAAGGGTGTAGTTGAGGGTGGAGAGGAAGTGGCAGTTCAGCACAACTAAGGGGCTGTCTAAACATGAGCAGGATGAGAGACTGGGCAAGAAGGTGAGGTTGTTGGTGCTATGATCTGCTTATTGGAAGGTGGGGCTCTGCGGGGTGGGATCACTGTGACCCTCAGCGTGTAAATACCGTACAGCCTGTAGCAATGCTCAAAAACAAAAATCGTCAATCAGTGAACAGCTTCACATCTGAGATGAATGACGGTGGAATGTGTTTCTGGTGGGGGTACTAGTGAAGCACGAACTGATCCATCTGCTGCTGGTTTAAAGTGAAGGGCACAGGTCCTTCAGGATATGGATGAGGTTTGACCCTGTGGTACTGACCTTGTAGATGACTCAGTCTCTGGAGGAACCTTCTTCTCTTGGCTCCGGCTTTACCCTCTCCCCCACTCTGCATTCTTTGGGTCCCGTTTTCCTTGATTCCCCTCACCTTAGGTTTTGTGGCTTTTAGCGTCCACTGAACTGACCACGTTCATCACTTCCGGTCTATTTCTGCTTTATTTGTGGCACTCCCATTCCATCCGTACAATGGAACAGACCCCCTTGGGTCAGGGTAAGTGGTCTGTGAAGACCCATAGGCTTTCATCACCACTGGCTGCTAACAGGGTATCCTATCCAGTCCCAACCGGCTCCTCCGTCCCGGGTGCTGCTCCTCAGAGCCAACTCTCCTGGCTCTTCCTTCGTGTGGGTTTGCTGGGGAAAAAAACCCAGGCCGAGACCTCCGCAGGAAGACAAGATGCTGGGAGCCCAGTGGAGGGGATCTGTGCAGTGTTGGTATCAACTCTGTCCTGGGAACTCGGGGCTGGTAGAGGTTGGGGAGCCAACAGGATTCTTCTTAGGGAGAAGGCGTGGAACTCCAGGGCAGAGGGTTGAATCAGGCACACAGTTCATAGCAGATCGTGATCCGTGGTCTGTTTCTCATTCCTGTACCTATCTTACCTGTCCACCGTAAGAAACTGTTCTGTTATCTCACTGTGCATCTTTCTTTACCGCTGTAACAAAGAGCACTGTTGTGTCCGGACACCTTCAATTCACACAGGTCCTGTTGTTCTCCCGTTTCTTCTTCTCTTTCCTTTCTCACTCTGCTATGTTTTAAGATAGGCCCTTCCCCTCTACAGGCTTAAAACGTACTGAAATCACCCAAAGAGCTTTTGTTTATGTGGGTTAAGCCTATTGGTATTTGCTGCATTTGAAATTAAAAGGGAGACCCTGAAAATGCCCATCTGCTGATCCATTTGAAAGGAGCAATACTGAGCACATAGCATGGTAACATAAATAAGGGTTTCGCCAGACTATAAAAGTAGTCTTGCCCTTGTGGAATCCTCATCCTAGCTTTCAGTGTGTTCCACGATACAAAAAGGCACCATGAAGGACAAAAACCTAGTAAGTAAACTTTGTTTGTTGCTTTAGAATACCTATGCCAAGAAACTGGAGTGTGTTAAGTTTTAGCGAACTCTGCTTATGTTCATGGGCTTTGCTCTCCTAGCTGCTGAGTGGTGCTTTGCCTACAATAGGGAAGGCTGTCTGGACAGCAGAGATTCCATGTCTTACTAGAATACTTTTTGGCGTTTTATGTCAAACTTGTCATGTCCTAGAATAGATTACTTAAAACACAAAGAACAAAAATTTCTCATGTAAGAGCAAGCTATATGTATGGTTCTATTTATTTCACTTATTTTGCATCCCATGCTTACATAGGCTGCTTTTATTTAAAGATTGAGATACTGTGCTTTTTGAAGAATGTGAATCCATGGTTTTCATTATATTGTTGGGCTATGCAAACATTATCACTGTCTAATTCTAATTCTAAAATATTTTCCAAAATGAAATTTATATTCTCTTCTTACCCCAGCCCATGGCAGCCCCAACCTACTTTCTGTCTCTATGGATTTGCCTATTCTGGACATTTTATACAAATGGGATTATATAATGAAAAGTTTTTATATCTGATTCCTCTTAATTGGTGTAATGTTTTCGAGGTTCATTTATGACACTGTATGCATCCATTGGTGACTGAGTAATATTCCACTGTATGGATATACCACTGTATAGATATAATGTATTTCTCCATCACTGGATTGTTTTTATTTTTTTGGCCATTATGAATAATGCTAAGAATGCATGCAAGTTTTTATATGGGCATGTATTTTTTATATTCTTGGGTATGTTTATTTTTAAATGTTTCCTTATCAGTTAAAATGGATAGCCAAGGCTTGTGTCTCAGACACTCATGACCATGTGTTAACCTGGTGTCCAATTCTCCTGACAACTCTTCTGGTCTTGCCTTCCCAAGACAGGTAGAAAAAAATAAGGGAACTTTCAGGACATTCTCATACCTATAGTGACCTTTGAGATTTCCCAGCAGAGCCCTGGAAAATCACAAAGATTTGTTCTTTCACAAAGAGATACTAGAAGTAATGGTTTGATGTGTCTGTATTATAAGATCTACACGAGAAGAGGTGTCAGATCAGAACAGATGTTCATCCTTACCCAGGTTAAACTTATGCAGGCCAAATGGTATTAATACATGATTAAATATTTTAGAAATTGTATGTTCTATGTGAAGCTCCTGGCGATTTGTCAAATCCCTCACTGCCCATATTTTTACTCTCGGGGACACATTGATAGAGAAATTTATTCTCATATTATCGGTCATAGTAATATGTTAACTACGGTCATGAAGTCTCTGTTTACAGGCAGTGTTTTGATTGCTTTCATGTGTACCTGAAGGCTCTTTTCTGAGCTGCAGCAGGTTGTGTCTTCAGTGAAAAAGGACATGAGGCCTCATGGTAAAGGACTGTGTCAGGGACCTCAAACTGACCCCACATTAACGAACAGACTCATGTATGGGCTTCTGAGCTGACATCACCCAAGCAACTCTCAGATTATCCCCATAGACTGAGTCAGGATTTGCAGGATTTGCAGAACATTTCCTAATCCAGAAGCAGAAGACTTCCCGAGAGGAGACTGTGAATCCAAGGTCCAGTGGAACTAGAAGTAATTCCTCAGGACAGTGTGAGATGACGCAGGAATGTCATCGTGGTTGTTTGTTTAAACTATTGTTAATGTTGCTTTAAAGTATTCTATTTGGGGACAGAGGGGCTTTTTCTCTTCTGCAACTCCCTGTAACTCACAACTACAGTTAAGTGGACCATGCTTTTGTAAATGAAAATAAAACTTTCGAAAACCAGACTTGATTTTCACTGGTCGATAATGCTGGGGTATGTTGTTATGGTTTTAATTTGCTTTTCTTCATGGCTAGGTGACCTTTGCTGTTCGCATACCCTCTGCTGTGAGGTATCAGCAGGGAGGGATTTGAAGGGTGCTTACTTATCCATCCCAAGCTTCCAGTTCTACTGAGGGGCACTTGAGACCCCAAACAGAATGCGTGATCAAATCCTGACCGCAGACTGTGGTCTCTGAATGGAAACAAAGGGCTGATGTGATGGGGACGCTGGAGCAGGTCCTGGGGCTTCAACTTCTCTCCTGCCTCTGCCTGTTGCCCGGCCATGACGGGTGGTCTGCTGGGTTCAGAGCACTCATGTGCCCTGAACAGGAGTGCAGTGGTTTAGAAACAGTTTGAGTGTGTCCTGCCAAGGTCCATGTGCAAGGGCGGCAGTGTTGATGTGGTGAGGGCTTTAAGAGGTGGGGCCTATAATCAGTGACCAGGTCCTGAAGCACTGCCCACAGGGAGGATTTGTGCTGGTCTTTGGAGTGAGCTAATTTTCATGAGAGTGAGTCATAAGGCCACCCCTCCGTTCTCATGCTGCCCTCCTTTTTCGGCTATGTGGAGACAGACACAGCAGGAGCCCCTTACTGTGAAGCTGGCACCAGGCTGAATGGACCCTTGAGCCCACCAGAATCACAGGCCAAGTGAGAATCTTTATTTTATACCCACCTCAGGTATTTTGTTGTAACACAAAACACAGAGTACCACGGAGCTCTGCGTGTGGCTCCCAACCAAATCCCCTGAGAAAGGTAGCAGCCGTTCACTCTCAGAGCTGCCTTGCCCAGTAGGCCTGGTCAGTGCGGTGCCCGGGGCCCAGGCTACTTTAGGGACCTGCCAAAATATTCTCATTTCTTTTAAAAATTAAAAGAAGTTGAGGCATATAAGTATCTTAAACCAGTGGGCACCTTGTCTGAGGGCCAGCAGGGGTGAGTAAGACCTCTGGCCTCGGAGGCAACTGGGTCCCTGTGAGTCCCGAGGGAGCCACAGAACACACGCCTGGAAGCAGAGGAAATTATCTTTGGACCTGGGGGGCAGAAGTCCAAACTGGGTCTCACTGGACAGAAAGCGGCAGGGCTGTGCTTTCCACCTTCACCAGCTTCTAGAGGCCACCCCTTCCATCTTCAAGGCCATCAGTGGGTGGCGAAGTCTTTCTCACATTGGGTTGCTCTGGTTCTGGCTCTGACTCTCCTGCCACTCTCTTATTCAGAATTTGAGATTTAAATTTTCCCCTTTCCCTGTGTGTGCTCCTGAGGGCCAGAAGAATCCACGTGACTCTAAAACCTGATTAGCAACCAACCTTCCTCCTCCAAGCTCAGTACTCCTTTGCCATGTAGTAACAACTGCATTCGGTGATTAGGGGTGGACACCTTTGGGAGGTCATTATTCTGCCCTCCCAGCCCACCTGGCCCCTGAGACTCGATGATTCTGGGGAGGAGAAGGGGACTAGGTCAGGGGGAGCGCTGGAAGGAAGGAGCGTCTGGGTGGGGGATATGGTGAGTAGCGCTCGCTCCGCAGTGTCCTGGAGCATCTATGTCTAACTGGGGAGCAGCTGCAAAGTACCTCAGTCATGTGGTGCCAGGTAAGGGTGTGGAGTGGAAGACTGAGTGGCTTCTGTCTGGTTAGGGGGTGACGTTTGAACCAAGATGGGAAGGCCAGAGGGAGCCACACTGGGGTAGGATGAGTCCAGGGCTTCCGTAGTCTGTACCCTCCCAGAGCTGGCCCTGCCCAGGTCTGGAGCCGGGGCTTTCCTCCTCCCCACTTGCTGCCGTGGTTTATGCTGAGCCTCTCCTGCTGGAGATGATTTTCTCCTCTCCACCCCTTCTCCCAGCCAAACTCCACCTCTCTTCCGGGTTTCAGCTGCTCCATTGCCCTCCAGGAGTTCTCAGCAGCCTCGCGTCTGCGTGAGGGGCGTCTTCCTGAGCCTTTCCCGGACTCACCACTACCACCGTACCACGCCGAGCTGCCAGTTTCCTCATCTCAACGTTAACGGGCCCAGCGGCCAGGGACTGTCACGCTGGCCACTGTGCCCCTCGCATCTAGCGAGAGGCCTGCCTCACAGTCGGTGGTCAAGAGATATCTTCGAGCTGAACAAGGCTGCCTACTTATTATCCATTCAGCCACTGTACTGAAAAGCACAGGCATTGTGGACCCCGGTGACAGAGTCAAACCACCTCCACCTGAATCCTGACTCAGTTTGCTGTGTGGACTTGCTGTGTGGCCCCAGGTAAGCAACTCGTTGTTCTGTGCCATAGTTTCTAGGGAGAGGAGCCAATATAATACTTTCTTACAGTGTTGGTGTGAGGATCAAGCGAGCCAGTCACATAAATATGCTTAGGAGAGAACCGAACAGAGGCCATGTTTCTCCCAAACCGATTAGAATGTTGTCTCCTGGGGTTTTTCTTTTAATAATTTATGTGTGTGCTTTTTACTACACAACTTGCTCACAGGGGCTTTTAGCCTTCAAATGAAACAAAAACAAAACTGGGCATGGAGTCAGTGTTTGACAGGGCCCAGGTCACTTTAGAGACCTGCCAAAATATTCTGGTTTTATTTTTAAATCTAAAGAAGAAAAATGATCTTTTAGTTCATAATATTAGTATATGTGCAATATAAAGCTGTACTGGGGCCTTGGGGGCTGACTACTGCCTTGGTGTTGTACTTCCCTCCTCTGGGAATGGAATCATCTATCCCTTCTTCAAAATTTCCCTCCCCATCCCACATATTTAAGCTTAGTGAAGGTTTTGCCACCTGCTGGCCATGGTTGCTTGGTTAGAAGTCACATGACCTAGGATGGGCCATTCAGAGTTCCTCCTCCTTGGTGTTTTGAAATGAAACTAAGGGAAGAGGAGCAGTTCCACTTTTCCTTTTGCAGCCAATTCACTCATTCATAATTGTTTATTGAGCACATACTATGTGTTGGTGAACCCTAGTCACCGGGGACATCGCCAGGAGCGGACATGTTTCCTGTCTTGTGGAGGACATAGGTCTGAGAAAATAAAGCCATCACAGAGTAAAGCTGAAACAAGAGAGAGGAAGAGCAGCAGTATTTCAGGTCAGGTCACGTTGTCTTGGGGAACCTTCCGGATACAGGAGATAGTCTAGCTCTGACCACTGATTCTCTTTTTTGCCTGAGCTCCTTAGAACTGGACTTTCACTTTCTACCCAATGACACGGGAGGCTAATGACTTGTGGTTCTTGGAGCTGAAAGGTTTACACCTTTTCAGTTCAGGCTAACACCCACCCTCTTGCCCCATGCTGGGACGCCTCATTTCCTCTTGCAGCCATCCCCTGCCCCACCCACCACCTCCACCTCAGGAGCTCCCGTTATCCTTGGAAGGCCCTGGACAAGGAAACAGTGTTCCTTACAAACGCAGCCCTTGACGTCTCCCAGGTGCCTGATACCTCGGATCACACCCTTCATCTGGAGATACATCTCTCTTGTCCCTCCAAAAGCCACACCTTTCTGGTGTCTCTCCACCTCCCTGGCCATGCCCTGCTCCTCATGGGTCCTTTCTCAGGCCTCCCTTCTCCCCGGTGATCTCACCTCCGTGATTCTGTCTTGCTCAACATTTTTACAAATGCCTGTCTCTAGCCCCGTCTCTTCCAGAACTCCGGACTGACACACTCAGTGCCACTGACATCTTTGTCTGAGCTGGATATCTTCCGTTGCCTCTTCCCTGGCTCTCCACCTTCCCTTCGACTTCGCTTTCTGTCCTGGAAGCTGTCCCATGTGGACTCCATCAGTAAGCTCCTGGTCTCCTGGCTTTAGGTCGGCTTCAGGCAATGTGGGACCCTGAAAGGAGATGGGAGGGCAGCAGAGGGGAGGAGGGCTGCAGTATTGACTCCGTGAGAGCTAACCTGGGACTGGCTGTGTGCGTGAACCAAATATGTGACATTCCCTGTACAACTCTTCCCTCCTGGATCCTGACTGCCTCTTTTTCTCATTCCTTCGTGCCTAGAGGGTGACGGCAACTCCACTGCTTTTAGTCTCTAGTTATTCACTGTCCTGGATGAGTCCCTGGCATTTTTTACTCACGTGTTTGTAAAGAGACCTTTGAGAACAAACCCCTCTTGAGTGATATAATTTGAAGGTGCCATCTGTTTTCTGTCGGGACCTGGACTGAATTAGTGCATACTTGGCACTGGAGTGGGCTCCAGGAAACAGGGCCTGGATTTTTTGGGGTTGGGTTGATCCATTATTCAAGATGGGCAGAGGAAAAATGGAACGCGGATTCTCCATGACAGGTGGTGCCATAAAGCCTCAGAGGACTATCAGTGGTAGTGACATTGATGATAGGCAAGTAGAGGGTAAAACCTGAGGTCTAAAATGGCTGTGGTATTTAGTTTCCATGGCAACAAAGTGGAATTTAGAGTCGGGGATCACCTGGATTCCTCTTACAGCCCGAGAGAGAACACATAGGGAAAAGGAGAATTTAAAAGCTATAAATATACAATTAAGAGAATACGATCAACAAGAAGAGTTCCAAGATGGTCTTGAAGGACACTCTTGTCTCGAGTGGGCAGAGATAGATAAGGACCAAGGCCCGGTGAAGTGAGGAGGGCTGGAAGTTTGCAGTGAGGATTACGTCTGCCTCAGGCAGGTCTGTTGCTCCAGATGGGCTTCTGGATACATCAAGTCAAAGAACATTTCCTTCCGCGTGTGACTTTGGAGTCAGACCATCCCGTGTTTGAGTCCTGACTCTGCTACTTAAGAATTACAGCACCCTGTATGGGTTACTTACTGTCTTTGAGTCTTAGTTTCATCTGAAAACAGTATCCATCCCATAGAGTCGCGGTAGGACTAAATGAGGTAGTGTTAACAGCATACATCTCGCGGACAGGAAACGAGTGCTTAAAAATATTCAGCTTTGTCTCTATTTTAGGATCACAAACAGCTCTGTGGATCCAACGGCCAAATTGGTCCTATATCAAGGGACATCTGACTGGGTGTTGTTGG